CTGGACAGTGATTAAGGATGACAGAAGAAGAATTGATGCATTTGAGTTGTGATGCTAGAGAAGAGTATTGAACATATGGACTGCTAAGAGAACAAATAGGTCTGTCCTTGAGAGGATAAAACGGGTTGCTTCTTGGAGTCTAGGGTTTTGAAGCTCTGTCTCACATAATGGGATTGCAGTGCAGCTTCTTTCCACTAGGCCACCAGAGCTCCCCTCACTAACTATTTTAATGCTGTAATTTTTCTGCTTTCAGCACTGACCAGCACGAGTCCTGCTCCAGGTAACACTGCCACTGAAGGCTTCTGGCCTCCCTTTCTGGATCACCTTCCTTCATAGATGTGAGACATAAATATAATGTCTTGTTGGTTAACGGCACTCCTGGCCACTACAACTTCTGCCAGTGTGTGACATCTACTAAATTATATACCAACCTGCTCATTTCTGGGAATGTTGTCCAGTTATTCCCTACTTAAACTTAAGGACACCCTCCCCCCCCCCCAACATTTCTCTGAAAATTTCTTCTCCCAGGAATTAGATGAGATCGACCAATGTTGCCAGTAGTCTGAAGCCCTGGAACAAAGCCATGTTCCCTTACCAGGGACAACAGCTCATTGAAGTCTCTTTCCTTAGGAATCATGTTTTCTAGTTTTTGTTACTCCTTAAAATAGGGAGCAGCTTCCCCTTCATCTATGAGAGCTAGGAGTAGAGAGGCATCCTCGTCTCTGCTGAGGGCCATCCCCTTCTCCAGGGCAGCAGAGAGCAGCGGTGGACCTGTCATGTGTTTCAGAAAGCTCTCACTTCCAGACGTCGAGGGGTTGCCAGGCATCACATTTAATAAAAGGCGAGTATAGGGACCATATCTCTCAGTATCTTTTATTTTTTTATTGCCCATAAAATACAGACCTGGCCAAGTTATGGCCTTATCTCAAATATGACAACAAATAAAATATTTCTTCATTTTAATATACACTTTTAAAAGCTGAGGACTTAACGCCCTTTATATGAAGTAAATGTGGTAGAGGGTCAGTCAGCATTCTTTTTAAAAATTAGCATGTTCCACATGTTGTCGGCAGGTGCCATCGAGTCACCTGTGACCCATAGCAACCCTGAAGCCTACCCTGTCCAGAGCCAGTCTCACTGATTCTGACACACCAACACCCACTGCCCCAGTTAGTGTATCATTCCATCTCATCTGAGGTCTTCCTCTCTGTGCCTTCCCATTCCAGGCATTATGGGGGGAAATTATTTTGTTTACACATAGAACTCTGTGTAGGCCCTGAAGGGGCAGCTCTGTCCTGACCGTCCTAGACCAGTGATAACACTTTGTAGTCAGTTGTCGGGTTCCAGTCCTTGGTGCCTCTTCTCATTGCAGCACCTCAATGACAGGCACTAAACAAGTCTTTGTCAAGGAGGTTTTTACCTCATAGCAGTTAAGGTACAGTCAACTGTGTCTTGGCTTGGGGAAGAACGAACAAAGCTGGTTGTTGAGGATATACACAGGAAAACAAAATTCCAGTTCAGCAGTTGTTCCATGTACAGTTCATTGACAGAGGTTCTATTTCCTAGTTGTACCACTATTTCACCCTCCTTTTCGGGATTGTTTTTCCTCCATTAACATAAACTCACTGCTCTCTAAGACTCCCATCTAGTCTTTGGCATTGCTGTTGTCAGTTTTATCCCATAATGCTCAAGCTCAGTGTTCTTTACCACTTAAACTTTTGTTTGATTTTTGAAGACTTTAAGGGGTAATTTTTTTTTAAAGCTTAAAAATTCTTTCTGGACAGCTGTTGGAAGGGTTCATCTAGCCTCTGTAGTTCTAAAAAGTCATGACAATTCTAAATCCTGTTCTGCAGTTTTCCCCTTTTGATCACAGTTCTTTTATAGAATCCTTGGTTTGTAATAGTAACTGGGCACCATCTAATACTTCTGGTCTGTCTGTAAAGGAGGTATTTGTTCATGGAGGCAGTTAGCCATACATCCATTTCGTTCTGTTCCTTACCCAAGGATTCCTGCTTGATGCAGTGGTTAAAACACTTAACTGCTAACTGGAAGGTCTCCCATGGAACAACAATGGCTACAACCCTGGCAGCTCTGTGAGTCAGGTCTGCGCTGTCCTGTGGGGTTGCTAGGACTTGTAATCCTAGGCTATTGGAATGAGATTTCTGACTCTCCTTTTTCCTCTGTTGCTGTAGGCAAATAGAGGCCTTTTTTTTTTCTTAAAGAGGGCTATTTTCTTGACTTGCAAACTCTTCAGACCCCAGTTTCAAAGAACACGAAACTAGGAGGAAGAACAGAAGCATAAAATGGATCATTAGTTCAGTTACCGGGATGGGCAGAGTTTTTTTTTTATTAATCACTTTGTGTGGAGGAAGGTGCTTCAGAGCTGGTACCCGGCACTGTCCTGACTGCTGTGCGGTACCCCGGCCATCACAGGTGATTGCTGTAACTGCACAGATCACGTCCTGACACCATTCGACAGGGAGGGTCTGTGGAGCTCTTTCCTGAGTCTCCTCTTTAAACCACTCAAGTACCTTGTTCCTGGAAGACCACCATCAACTTGTACCGGGTCTTGGTGCCCACACTGGCCCACATGGTCACCTCACACCAGTACAGGCATGAAAGACAAACTTTGAGTGATTCTGCTGGCCCAGGCTGTTCTCTGTGAAATGGATGTCTGTTAGAAAGGAGGGCTGTGGGTGCTGGGTTTCCCAGGGGTCTAAATCGTGGTGCAGTAGCCTAAGTGCCGGGTGCCGTCTGAACACGCCTTTTTCTTGTGTTGATCAGTCTGCGTTTTCGGGCAGTCAGAGACCAGGGAGCACCCTTGATGCTTCTCCCTGGTGCTTTGCCCACCACACCAGCTCAGGAAGAGCTGTTTCTGGTTCTCAGCCTCTGGCTCTGTAAAGCCTTATGGTGGAGCCGACCCTGCCACTCATTGTCCATGACCTTGGTGTAGGTTGCTGTGTGTGGAGTTTATTTCTTTTTTTCTGTCATGAGTAGTCTCATGAGAATGGACAGAAAGGCAGTCCTGGGAAGGTTCTGAGAATCGGTTGTCTGTGGCCCGTCCCAGCCCTGGCATGTAGTTCGCTTTGTGGGTTGGGTTCAGTCGGGAAAGTCAAGCTTGAGACAGGGCTCAAGACCACGCGGGCAGCTGGGTCTTGTAGAGAGCAGAGACCTCGTCCTTTGGCCATTAGTTATTTTAAGAAAACCCTTGTGTTCTGCTCTTTATTGTTTATCGGGTGGTGAGTGCGAATTCAGATAGAGAAATATGCTCAGTGTACACCCCAGCTCACCAGGTCGGGGGAGCCTGGGCCTGGCTCTGTACTAGCTGAGTGAGCACACACACAGGTCTTCACCCACTTTTCTCTGTGGGTCCTGAGCACCCACCTGCCCCAGGAAATCCCCCTTCCCTCTTGCTCTGTTAGGACCACAGTCTCACCCACCTGCCGCGTTTTTAGCCCGTTACTTATTTTTCACATAGAGATTTTGCCAAGATTTCCATCCCCTCGTAAACACCGGCACACACACAAGAACATGTGCATACACTCAAAACAGAATTTCACAGCTTGTTGGGCCCCTATGTGATGCTTAGAATCACGGTGAAAACCCATCCTTCGGGCAAATCAGGCCCCTTCCAGTCTGGGGTTCTGGTCTGAGAATTTCTAGGAATGCGGTGTCAGCTCACAAGTGACCAACACAAGCTTCCTGAGAAACTGGTGCTGACTAAGCTTCCCTTTTCATAAAGGGAAGAGAAGGGTCTGTCCCCATGTCTGTCCCCATGGAGGCCTTCTCCTGTGAGATCACCATTCCTGGAGTTCCCTTTTCCTGGCGGCCACCCGATGCTATACCTGGCTTCTGGAAAACTCCCAAAGAACATGGTGTCTCTATTTATGGTCTAGCTTCCCTGCTCGGGAAAATCGTTTGACTCCTGTTTGACTCATCTTCTCGTCTGAGATGGGAACGGTGCTATGGAGATGATTGGAGGGTTTGTGTGGCCGGTAGATAGCTCCCTTGGCTAGTCACTGGCTCTTGAATTGAGGCGTCAGCAGTTGGCTGCGTTGACTGAATATATTCTATATTCTCCGAGGGCTGCCACGTAACTCATTCCTGCTGCTCTTCTCTTCAGCCTTTTCTGGGAGAGTTAACTGCGCACATACTTCTCAGAGGTGTGGAGCACCATGGGGTAAAATGAGTGGGGTGAGCGCCCAACATGTTCTGTCATTCATTTCTGTGGTAGCCCAGGTCAGTTTTTACTTTTCCCAAAAATATGATACTTTTGAGAGTCTGCCTGCAAGGGCCCTACTTTGTGCCCCAAGTTCTCTGTTTACATGTCACCCTTAGCACCAGAATACTGCAGGAGCTTCCCTCTCAGCTTTGTCCACATCATCCAAGTGCATAGTGGACCCTCCGCTCCTCTGTGCACAAACACCCGGTCACACACAGCCTGGGGGCAAGCATCATCCAGTGGACCACGGGGGAGACCAGAGCATGGCCACTGAGAACAGAAGTCCCTCCTCAGGAGGCGTGCCCAGAGGCGTTAACCTTAGCCAAACAATGGAAGAGGGGCTGTTTAAATCCTCTGTTTAGAGGGGACTAAGGCATGTCGCAAAGGACAGCCGCTGCTGCTTGCACTGTATCTGACTTTTAGTTACTAGGTGAGCATCTAAGCATCAATAGTTACTCTTCAGTCTGGGAGGAAATCTCTAGTAGCAGGTGTGGATTACAGGATTCCCTTTCCCTGTTCTCCAGCCGGAGGTAGTCTGCTCCCCATCTATGAGGTGAGATCCGTCTGTGTGTAGTTTTGAGTCAAGGAGAGGACCATTCAGACGTCGGAGTTAGAGGGACAAACCAAAACTCCTGGCTGCCCACTGCAGGCACAGGAAGTCCTCCCTGGACAGGGGAGGCCTGGGCAGCTGTCCTGGGTTCTCTGCCCCTGGTGCCTGCCTGACTTGCCTCGTCCCACTGCTCCCTGTTGCTCATGTTACAACTGCCCTTTTTCACAGGGATGCTTGAAGATGGAAAGAAATTTGATTCCTCGCGGGACAGAAACAAGCCCTTTAAGTTTATGCTAGGCAAGCAGGAGGTGATCCGAGGCTGGGAAGAAGGCGTGGCCCAGGTACGCTCTTAGTTTGTTTTCTAGTGTCTAGTATCTTGCTTTATAAACAGTGCATTCGTGACTAATCTTGTGTACACTTCCGTTTATAATGCTGTGGATCAAAGGCTGAGCGAATTGCATTTTGCCAGATGGCCAGCAGTGGAGAGCGAATGCGGACCTCACCCCAGAGCCCTGTCACCAAAACATGCTCTTAAACATTTTGGCTCTGGGGTGCTACAATGTGTGAAAAACGGGATCTCGTCGTCGTTTTAAATTAAAATGGTCATTATTAACCATGTTATGTCAGGCCATCTGTGAGACGTCAGACTTGAGGATAAAGTAATTTTATTTATCTGAGTCTGTTTCCAGGCTTACCCCTCCCCATTTTTTTTAAACGGCTTTGTCCTGCCAACACTACAGAATTCCCAGGAGACAGTAGGGGACTCAGAGTGATCAAAGTACAGTTGGATACTGTCCTGCCATCATTCCCAGGAATTTTTCCTTGGCACTAACCAGGTAAAAGGATGAGACCCAAGGGAGTTTAGAGTTGGACCTTGCATGAAAGGCAATTTGTTAATCTCTCCTATCCCCAGCTCTTCCAGGAGAATTGGGGCTCTAACCAAGATTAAAGAGATTTCTGTCTCTCTTCTCATTTGTAGACTACACATTACTCTACTTCCTCTATAAAATGTCACTAGTTTATCTCCAGGTAAAATACTTAACTTTCAGAAGCTTTAAGACATCCCATTCAGGTGCTGGCAGTCCAAGAGGAAAGGTCCTTTGTGGCTTACTTCCTTTTGGAAACCTTGCCAATCTTCCTTCTGTCCCTGCCTCATCTGGCTGGCTCTTGGATCTCCAGCCTCCCCACAGTCCCTGTGCCAGCTATTGTCCACAGCACGGCTCATCTTCTGGGGCTGTTAGCACTGGAACAGTAACTGTGTTGTGTGCCCCTCATACTATCACTGCCATCAAGATAGTGTTCCCAGCCTGGTGTTCGAGGTGTGTCGCGGGGCCGGGGAGGAGCCCAGACCCCCAGTGGCCCAGGGCTTCGGGACAATCACTGGTGCATCACTGGTGGAGTCTGGGTAATCAGAGACCTATAAAGCGGCTTCGTCTAAATTCTGCTAAGGAGGCAAAGAAGACTGGGGCTTGTCGGGTGCCTCTTATGATACTGTTGTTTTGTGTTCATAGATATGAAATCATGCCACAAGTACTGTTTTGGAAGCTGTTCTTTTTAAATATCTCAGTAATTCCTGGGAATCTTGATCTGTTAGTATGTTAGAGCTAATGCATGATCTTGATGTATCCATGTTGTAGACAGTTAGGTTGTTACCTGTATATTCTGTAAGTGGAGTTACTAGGTCAAAGGTTATGATCACTTTTGTTAAATAAGGCCAACCAGAGCAGGACAAGCACAGTGGGGTTCTATCTGTAGTTCTGTCCCTTTTGCTTTGGTCCAAGCATGTCCCACTTTCTGAAGAAAGGGGACCCAAAAGCAGGGTTCTGAGCTGCGCTAGGAGCTTTGCTAATGGCTAATGGGGGTTCTCTTTCGTCCCCATCTCTCAGGCTGGGTCAGAGATCCGGGAATGTGCCCGCTTGTGGAGACGAAAAAGAGAGTAGGTAAAAGAATGAACTCTTTTCATTCCATCCACAGACAAATACTAGTATTACTGGCTTCCTTCCACAAGTGTTTTCTGTTTGTTAATAAAACCCACCAAAACATACTGCCATCGATTCGATTCTGACCCTTGGAGGCCCCATAAGACAAATTAGCACTGCACTGTCGGGCTGCTAATGGAAAGAACCTTTCCAGACGTGGACTGCGTCATCTTTTCTCCCGGGAGCAGCCGGTGGCTTAAAACTGCCCGCCTTTTGGTCGACAGCCAGGAGTTTTCATTACCGCACGACCAGGACTCTTGCTTATTCATGGCAGACACAAGTATCTCTTTTTTTCCACAGAAACAATAGCTGTACTATACGTAATTTTTGTGCCTTTGTGTTTGTTTAGAAAAGTATATTTTTGAGTAAAAAAGTATAATTAGAAAATGGATGATGGGCTACTTTCAGATATTTTCTTTATTTTCTGTTAAAGCCAGTTTGGCCAAACTATTTGAGTTTTGTTGGTTTTTTTTCTGTTTTGTTTTGTTTTTTTCCAGAAGCGCACAGCTGTCTCTTACCCCATCTTTTGAGGAAGGGGCCGCTGGGAGCCTGAGGGGTGAGACTGGATTCCAGGACTATTTGTCTGCCAGCATCAGCAGACTAAGGCCTGGGTGAAAGATTCTGAGCATAAGTCAGGGAAGGTGTTTAACTGCATGGAACCCTCAGCATTGAGATGGAGCTCATTGAGCCCGGCTGCCGACCGTCCAGACATGGTGTGCAGCCACACAGTCACTGGAATGTCCTTGTCAGTTTTCCTGCCCTGGCCGGGAAGTACATGGATGGAGCCCTCTGCATCTTCAAGAGACTTCATGGATATGCCCAGCTGACCCCCTCCTTCTTCTTTTCACAGATGAGTGTGGGTCAGAGAGCCAAACTGACCATCTCCCCAGACTATGCCTATGGGGCCACTGGGCACCCAGGCATCATCCCGCCAAACGCCACTCTGGTCTTCGATGTGGAGCTTCTAAAACTGGAATGACAGGAATGGCCACCTCCCTTAGCTCCTCGTTCCTGGGTAAGGAGCCTAGAGCCGAGGCTGTAGCCCCTCTGCTCCTCGTGTGCACTGTTGATGGTGGTGCGTGTCCTTTCTGTTCCAGCTGTTAGTGTGCACCCTGAATGCGCAAGGTTGATGAAAGGGAAGTTCTGTGCTCTCAGATGAAGTCCGAGTGGGAACTCTTTAAATGAAGTAGTTAGCTGGGCAGGTCTCTCACTGATGCGATGCAGGGTCCTCCTTGTTTGATGATGTTTGGAGTTGTAGCACCTTGGTCCACTGGTCTCAGGTAGCTAGGCCGGAGACTTCTCCACCTATCAGGTCATTCCTACCAGGACAGAGTCTCTGGCACATAGACCCTCTGTTTGTCTGGAGGCCTACACCTACTTGAAACCCTCTCCCCTGTTCTTCGAGAGCTGAGTCATTGGACATGAACGTATCCCAGGGAGCCTTGAGGTTATCCTGCTTTGGAAATGCTTTCTCTAAACCTAGTAAGGGAAGGGGAGAGGTGAGGGACGGCACTCACTCTGGCCCTGTCCTCCTCCCGTCCTCCTGCCCAGAGCGATAACATCTCAGAGCCTGTCATACAGTCTGGAAGGAGAGCCCGAAGTCAGCGCCAGAGAGCTGTGGGCCTGAGTGAGTGTCCGAGGCCTGCAGACATAGTCCAGGCCTATTCACCATGGCAAATAAGAGCCTGGGCCTGTGGCTTTCAGCCTCCATTGCACATTAAAATCACCTGGGAAGCTTTTAAAAACCTTTTAAGTATGCCTAGGCCACATCCTGGCCCATTTAATAGTGAATGCTATGTGGGGCCAAACCTTAGTGATTTCTCCCCCCCTTTTAATTCTCTGATGATTTAATATGCATCCAAGTTGGAGATCCAGTAATGTTGGGGAATTATACTGCTAGCAGTGTTGGGGTCTCTCCTCCTGCGGGCCCTGTTTACCTCAGCAAAGTGAACATAACTTTAGATAGATAGGCCAGTATAAGCAGGAAGAGGGTTGCTCACCAGGACCAAACCCTGTCCACACCCTCTGGCTCCCCAGCTGGACCAGGGGCCAGCTCAGTCCCAAGAAAACTCCTCAGCCTTTGGGGAAGGGACATGGCAGAGGATGAGAAAGTTGTAGCTCTCGCCACCTCATCCAGAGGACCCTGTGGAGCTGGAACTTAGCGATTTTCTGTCCCCGACAGATCTGCCACGGAGGGATCTGGCGCCTCCAGACACGCGCACGTGACTCCACACGGAGCTTCCCTGATGTTCCACTCCACTCTATAACCATCTGCCCCGACTGAATGTGTTCTGTCACTCAGCTTTGCTTCCAACACCTCCGTTTCCTCCTCTTCTCTCTCCTCGTATGTATGTTGACTTAAACTATATACCATCAACCTCAGATTATTCATTTTATTTTTTTGTTTTGGTTTTGGGGTGAAGATTCAGTTTCAGTCTTTTGGGTCTAGGTTCCAGTTAAGCATATGATCCAGTATTAACAGCACAAACAGTGGGTTCACTTTAGAATAGGACTCAGTGGGATGGGGAGGGTTTGGGGGGAGGGGTGCAAGAAACTTTATTTTATTGTATTTTTTTTTTTGATGAAATTTTTATTATATATTAAACATTCTTGCTGCTGCTGCGCTGCCAAGCCATAGCAGATGTGAGGCGCTGTTGAGGGCTGAACTGTGCCCCACGTTGAGGAGCTGTCCTTGGGTTGAATTACAAGCCCTCCCAGAACTGAAGTGGGGAAGGGGAGAGCCTTCGCCTCCCCCAGCCAGTCCCACCCTCCCCACAGACCCTCTGCCTTTCTCAAGCAGATCGCTTTCACTGCAGTGTCGGACACTACAGGGATCTGTGCCCGGGCCAGCAGGGGCCTCGGAAGCCGCCTTCGTGGCCTGGCTTATGTAATTTTTATTTTAATTTTATTTTTTTGCCATCCTGTGGTTTTTCTAAATGGATTTTCAGGACTTTTGTAATCTCAAAGCTGTCGAAGCGCAACCACTTCCTAAATTTTCAGAATTTTAATTGAAAGTTTAAATTGAAGGTGCTGTTTGTAGACACTTAACCACCCAGTGAAAGCCCAGCCATTAAGACAAATCCTTGAGTGTTCTCTTCAGAAAATGATGCTGGTCATCGCAGCTTCAGCATCTCCCCCTGCTGACCTCAGTTTCCTGGCTTCCCTCCCCCTCTCACCCCTCTGCTGTCCTGTGTAGTGATTTGGTGAGAGAAGTTGACGCTGTCCCCCTCCCCCATCTTCTGCACCACATAGGAGTTTCAAGTTTTATTATTGCAATAAAAGTGCTTTATGCTGGCTTTTCTCAGCTCTGTGTAATGGTGGTTACTTGGCGGTACCTCTCTGTGCCCTTTGGTGCTGACCAGGCATGGAGTTGGGGGCGTGCGCTGTGTCTGAGGGGGTTTCTTGATAGAAGTGAGACCCTTCTCCACCGGCTTCCTTTGCGGGTGGGGTGGGGTGGGTTTCCACCCATTGCCCCATCTCTCGTCAGAGGACCTCCCTGGAGGTGAGTGCTGGAAGTCAGCGAGCACTCCACCCAGCTCCCCTCAGTCGTCAGATGTTTGTTAAATACATGTTCTGAGTTGGGTAGATTTTTTTTTCTCGCTCTCATTTGGGTCCCTGAAATTGTAAGGAGGTGGGATATGCAGCCAGCCACCCACAAGAAGTGAGTCACAGTCTGCTTGACATGTGCTGCGAGCAAGTGATGAAGACTCACAAAGGGAGCATTTGTCCTTGAATCCGCGTTCCTCACTGGCGGTGTCTTGGCATTTCGTGTGGAAAGAGTCTTAGTTGTGTGGACAGTCAGGCGGTGTCTTCCCTGGCCCTGTCTCCCCTCTCGGCTAGACCACCAGAAATGCTCCCACACACTCGTCCTATCTTATTTTTCCTTAAAATTCTCTAATGACAATGAATCAACAAAATGTGAGAATTTCACCGTGAACACTCACATGTTCTGTACACATGAACTGCTAATACGCAGTGGTACCTATTTATATAAAATATACTGCGCTCCACGTCCCTGCAAAGAGTTTGTGCTAGATTTCTAACGAAACTGGCTGTTGAGATCCACCCCATGGCTCGATGGGAGAAGACCGGCTCCCGTGAAGAGCTTTTAGGTGCCATCAAGTCGACCAGGACTTAGAGTGACCCGACAACGAAGGATCTGAGCTTCATTCACACTGTCTCCTGCCATCTTCATTGTCTCTGATTCACTTGAGTCCAGGAAGTACAGAAAACTCTTAAGACGTTCTATTCTGTTGCTTGGAGTAACTATGAGTCAGAATCCACTCTGGTGCCTAGCAACAGCAGACCAATCAGAAGCCACATCATCGAGGCCCCAAGCACCTGAGCCCCTGGATACAGGCAGGGCTGTGCATAAAAGGTGGAGGGTCGGCGAAAGAGGAAGACTTTCAACGAGATGAATTGACACAATGACTGCAGCAGTGGGCTCAAGTATATCAGAGATGATGAGGATGCCACAGGGTAGGACAGGGTTCAGGTCTGTTGTTCATAGGGTCACTATGAGTTGTACTCAACCCAAAGGCACCTAACAACAACTTCAGCAGAGTTCCTGACTGGGCAGGCATAACTAATTAGCCAGGTGGAAATGGTTTTATGTTGCTATCAAGTATACTTTCTTCTGGATTTTATTATTTTAGAAAGTCACATTCCGTCCAAAAAGAGACAAATTTGTTTCTCATTCTGTCTCCAACCTTTACAAGGGTTTGACAACAAACTGTTGTGAGTTTTTTCATTCCTTAAGTACAGTTGGGGTGGTTGAAGGGTACAGATGGAGAGCCAGGGTGACTGGATGAATGTTTGTTTCAGTTCTTTGGAATCTGATGGTCCTTGTTGAGATTTTTGCTCTTGCAGCCACTCCCTCATAAAGACCATGATGACCGTCTGACTACAGAAAAGCATTCCTTCAAACCCTCAAGCCCCTCTTGCCTCAGGAAGTGGCTCGCCACAGACAACCCCTCTACCTCTCATTGAACAACCCTTTCTATTTTGAAATGTCCCCAAACTGCTGACTTGCTTCTTGCGACTAAGCAGACTGCCATATGTACCTGAAGACCTGTCATAGTCTGTGCAGTATGATGGATCACTTTTGCATGGTCTTTTCATTCCTTCCATATAGCTGGGTGGGTCCACGTGTATGGGGAGCTTTGACCCACTAAGGGGATTGGACAGCTTGCTAATAATGCAAATAACGTGTTCGAAACCTTGGTGAAGGCATTAGTCAATGTTGCTATTCCACTAGGCTTAAAATGAACCATGTCAGAGTCAGATACAGAAGCCTTCACTACCAGCAAGAAATAGGAGTAGATGGTATACTTTGAACCCGGGGCCTTGTGCTGAGAACTTCCTAAGCCTCGGAGACGGAGTTGCCCCACTAGAGATGGTGCTTCAGTCATAAGAATTGCAACAGGAAGTCCAGCACCAGATGACATGATGTGTTGACCTTCTCAAAGGAGTTAGCCCTGCTGACCCACAGGGTGGGAGGTGAGTGCCTGTGGCTGGAGGCTTGCTGGCAGAGTCGGATGCCTCTGGACACTTAACTGGCAAAACCTAAAAAGAGTTTATAACACTGCCCCATCAGGGCCAAGGCACGGTTGTCACAAGAGGCTGAGGGGCCAAGGGTCAAGAGGCCAAAGACAGCTGTGGTGGTGACCAGAGGACTGTATGCTGAGTCATTTCTGACCCTGAACTGTAACCTATTTCCAAATCCCAGTTGGTATGTTCTGTGTGATCACTGCAAAGAATTACTGAGCCCAGTAAAGTGATTTTGGGAGGAATGACTAGAATCAGAATGAGTACCAAAATTGGAGAGAGGAGGTAGGTCTGGTTCTCCTACTCCCTTAGGAGGAGATCAGAGACTGCCAACACTCCATTTTCACAGGTGGCACTGTTTTTGGTTGTTACCTTCAGAAGTGAAGTTCTTTGCAGTAACTTTAGGCTCATAGAAGGTGAAAGGTGCAGGGAAAGTGAAACTTGATAAATGGTTACTTTGGTTGTTACGTATAGTGATTTGTATAGTGACTTAGTGACTGAAAGGAAGACACGCAGTAACGCACAATACACTGCAGCTGAGGGGAGAAAAGCCACATCTGGAGTGAAGTGGGGTCAAGGCCAAGCCAGTTTAACCAGATGATTGATAGAGGACCAGGGTCTTCTGGTTCCACCCGGCCAGCCACCCAAGGCTGGGAGCATATTGGGAAGGGGAGTTAACCTTCAAGTGTGACAACTGTGGCTGCGGGGTTTGTGTGTGTGTGTGGTGCAGTTGACTATTGTCCTATGGCCATCCTTGCCATGGTGGTGGTAATTCCTGCCTCCCTGTAGCGCTGTGCAGATGATGTTTTTACGGCCCTCTAAGAGAGTTGATTAGACAGCTTGCTATCATATCAGTTAGGTGTGTTGGCACCCTTGGGGGTCAACAAAACAGCTCATCACTGTTGAGTCAGAAGCAACTCAGCCAAGAGTTGTCAGAGGCCATAAATCACCAGGGAGCAGATTAACCATCTTTCCCCCTTGGAGTAGCTGGTGAATTCGAACTGCCTGCCTTTGGATTGGCAGCGCAGCTCTTTAACCACTAGGCCTGTCATGTTGTTTGCCATTAAGTCAGAACCGACCCATAGCTGACCCTCCTGTGGGTTTTCAGAGGCTGTCAATCACAGGACGGGACTGAACATCCATCTCTCGCAGAGCAGCTGGTGAATTTGAACCGTGTGTTTTTGGAATTGCACTGTGGCTTCTTACCACTAGGCCTAGGGTCATGTAAATACGGTCTGAGGGAACTGGACAGTTTTGCCATCCCCAGAGATGGTATATGGATGATGAGACATGAAGCAGCAGAACCAGGGGACCAACATATGACAGTGCCTGGCCGAGGAACACAGTGGTTACAGTGCATTTGGTGACCCATGGAGTAACAGCTGAGCTTCTTCAGGCCTCGGCTAACTGGCAGAGTGAGGTGTCCAGGGCACTTAGCTGCAGAGCTAACAGCTTGGCAACACTTGCTTGAGCAGGTCCAAGGCTGGCCAACTCTAGAGGCCATGGACTTGGGAGAGACCTCCCTGTGGGCACAGCTGAGAAACTGTCCAAAGAACTGCGTCCTGAGCCCTGCCTGAGTTTGAATTGTCACCTGTTATTTCTAGTAATTAAGTCTGGACTGTGAATTGTTCCGTGTGGCCACTTGTAACAAATTGTTGAAACTAGCAGAGGAGTGGAGTGCCTGTGACAGCAGTAGAATTGGTAGAAAGGTTAGAAAGAGGAAATGTATTTGGCCAAACCATTGTTAAGAATCAGCTCTGGGTTG